ACAACCATATTAGATTTCCCACAGGAAGAATGAATAAAGATAGTTTTAGAGTTAAATGCTAATGAGTCCTTAGAACTATTGGAAATTGTTTTCCAAAATTAGAAAATCTAATAATAAAAAAGGAGAAACACAACACACACGACACACACACACACACACACACACACACACACACAATGGGGAGAGACTGTTCAAAACAGAAAGAAAGGGAAGATACTTTATAGACAAATGGTCAACTGATGACTTACTAATAGTCATAATGGAAGCCAGAAGGTTGCAGAAGACATGTTTTTAATGTACTAAGAACAATTGTGTAACCAAGAGTAGACATTTTCTCTGAAGAGTGAAAATGAGGCACTCTCAGCCTGCTCGCTGCCCCTGCTGTGTGAGAACTCTCAACACAGAAAATGCTAGCATGCATATTAGGGACTGAGAAGGGATGACATAAAGTCTGAAATTCCAGAAAGTAAAGACAGTGTTCGATGTGCGGACCAAATAAAATTGAACTTTATGAAGTAATGGATATGAAAAAGCTCCATTTTTGTTTATTTACTTGTGTGTGTGAAGTGTCAGGTGGGCTAAAACCAACATCCTGATTGACAGAAGCAGACAGGGAAGGAGCGATAGGAACCCCAGCCTGCTAAGGTCCTTGTCAGATTAGAGTAGGGATGTTGGCCAACTCTGGATTTTATTCCATAGCCTGATAACTGTTACGAGAACCTAGACAAAGACAGAAAGTCCCAGTAAGTGATGAAAAGAAAGGGAAGGGAAGAGGAGGGAAGGGGAGGGGAGGGGAGGGAAGGGAAGACAAAAAGACAAAGACAAAGATCTTAATTTCAACAGGGGCAAGAAAGTGGGTTAAGAGGCATAGAGTGGGTCAGCTGGAATCCAAGTGGAAAGAGGGGAGCAACCAAGCCATGTGTGTATTTAATCATGAAACATAAACACAGGCTGGTAAGCTCAACTTCCACCATTAAAGCAAAAGGTTCAAAAGCAAAAGAAGTGACCAGAAGGTAGAGCTAAGCCAAGAAAAAGATGGAGCCTCTCCAACAAAATGCAGGCAAAGTGTTTACAGAGTTCAAAAAGGCCTCTGTTGTCTGGGCAGATAGTAACACTACTGAACCTACATGTCTCTAACAACATAGTCTCAACATTAAACAAAAGTTCCATGAAAATCATAAGAAATTGAAAACTTGTGACATCATGGGAGATTTAAAAAACAATTTGTTCAGTAAATGTTGGAAAAATGTAGAGAAATCAGAGATACAGAAATGTTAAGCAGCGTGTAACCAGGTGACCTGACATTTATTGAACTTCACATTTATATTTGCATATCTTCTTGGCATGCACATAGAATAACGAGGAAATGCTGACTTAAAAGCTGGCTGCATAGAACGTGAAGGGATTGGGGTTCCTCAGATCATCTCTGTGGTTAAGAATGTGAACAAAACCAAGCAACCTTCCTTGGTTATTTTTCAATGGCTGTGACAAAGTACCATGACCAACGCAACTTATATAAGACAATGTTTACTTTGGGACTCATAACTAGAGTTCAGGACCTGCTATCATGGTGGAGAGCATGGCAGCAGGCAGGCAGACATGGTGCTGGAGGAGGAGCTGAGAATTTACATCCTTCTCTGCAAGTAGGAGGGAGAGAAAGGACTAACTGGGAATGGGTGGGCTTCTGGAACCTTCAAGCTGTCCCCAGTGACACACTTCCTCCAGCTAAGCCTGTCAATTCTTCCCAAACAGTTCTACCAACAAGGGATCAAATATTCAAACATATAAGCCCAAGGAGCCATATGTATTCAAGCCACCACACAACTCAATGTGTTTGTCAGGAATAGCATTTTTAAAACTTTAAAAACCCATGGGGTCCTACTGAGCATCTACTGTTAACCTTAGGTCTGTTGTTTCTCAAATAGCTTCTGGATACAACTAACACCATTTTCTTAAGTTCTGTGAATTGTCGTTTCTGGTAGAAACCACAGGGGGCTCTACAGCAGAAACCTTTTCTGTAGTGGTAGTTTAGATTATTTACACTTTTCTCTCTTGTAGACCTATCTACCTTTTCCTAGAAAACAACAACAACAAACACTCCAGAATTTAATATAAAAACTAAGTTAAAACTTCAAAACAGCTTACATGTGCTCTACCCCTGAGCTACACCCCTCCCCATCTCATGGCTGTGTTTTTATTGTTATGAAGAGTGTGTTTGGGATGGTGAGGCTATGAGGAGTGGGGGACCATAAGGGAGGAGAAGACACTGATATGACAAATATTTCCATAGACATCATCCTGTACCAAGGACTAGGTTTCCATATCTATTTGTCCCCTTTATTGATTTCAATGTGCTAGGGAGAATTTTTTTTTAAAAGACATTTATTTTCTCAAGGGTCTGGAGGTCAAGAGTTCAAGGTCAAGGTATGGGCAGGACTAAATTCTCTGGCCTCTGTAACTAGTCCTTGCTGTCCTCTGACACCGAGTAGCTCGTCTCTCCCTTCGGCATATCTCTAGTGCCCCCTCCGTAAACTTTAGTCCCTTTCTGAGGACACCATCCAGACTGGATTGAGGATCTACCAACTGGCGACAGAACTTTAACTTAATTCGCTCTTTAACAGCTGTCCTGTGGGATATGGGGGTATCAGTCAGTGAACTGGGGGAGTTTATGACTTATGCACCAGCAGCTGTTTGGGGAGACAGGAAACTTGGAGACTCAGAGAAGCCAAGCAACTGGTGAAGGCCATGTGCTCGCCCAGAATCACAGGTGAGAGGCACACAGCTAGGCTCATCTGAATGGCTGAATGCCTACCATGCCCTGAGCTAGCATAGCCCCACTATCACATGTGAGTGGGAGATGGAAAAGGTCCTTAAGAGAATTTTTAGGAAGTAAAGGAGGAAAACACACAGATAGGGCCAGCATCTAGGAAGGAAAGAAGGAAGGAAAGGAGAAAAGGAAGAAAGGAAGGAAGGAAGGAAGGAAGGAAGGAAGGAAGGAAGAAGGAAGGAAAGAAGGAAAACACAGAGAGATGGACCAGCATCTAAGAGCGCTTGCTGCTCTGACAGGGGTCCCAAGTTCAGTTCCCAGCACCCATGTCGAGTGTTGTATCCTGCCTGTGGCCCCAGTGCTGGGAATCATTCCAATGTCCTCTTTCTGGAATCCTCAGGCACCTGCACACACATGGCATGTACACAGAGACACACAAACATGTCTCTATTATTGTAAAAAGGAAGACAGAAACTGACCAAAGCCAAGGAGTGCTGTGAGCAGACGTTGTGCTGTCCAACTCAGCCTCAGAAACACTGAAGCAGAACATCTGCAGGCTGGGCTGTTTTGCAGGCTCCCCTTTCAGAGCTCAGCTTTGAGCACAGACTGGAGCTTTAACTGAGACACTATAAAAGGTCAGCAGTTTAGCATCAGGGGAAGATCGCCTGTTTGCAGGAATCTGGGTTTGGGTTTTAGACTAACACAGTCCTGAAAATGAAGGACCTGTAAGGCCTGGCTCTTTTCATTTGTGAGTGCCTGCTGCCCTCTGCTGGCCAGATGTAGGAACAGCCAGGAATCGACAGGACATTCTACAACTTCCACAGTGCACAACTCTAATGGAAAACACTTGGTCTCACAGGCCTATGGGTCCACCCTCTCTAAACTCCACACAGTTTTTAAGTAACAGCACGTCCAGCTTCCCTCTTTGCATACTGTTACTGCATATATGTTTTAATGTAGTCAGCTCGATGACTAGAAGGCAAGTCTTGGTGATTTAACGTAGTATTTGCTTTCTTCATGCTTCCAAGAAAAAAAAAAGCCGTAAGGTTAAATAAGACACACTTTCAACCTTTTCAAACTATGATTTACTGAGTGATAATTTGGGGTTCCCACTATTTTGTTGCAACACTTTGGAAAAAATAATATTCATTTTCACCAAAAAGGAATCAGAAGTGGTGATACAGGACCGTCGTTCCTTGGAGAACTGAGGCAGGAGGATTGCAAGTTCAAAGCTTGTCTGAGTTACACAGTGAGTTCAAAGCCAGCTTAGGCTATTGGTTTGGGAAATGTCATGGGGTGGGAAGAATGGCTGAGGGACAGGGTGGAGTGTTGTGGACTGCAGTTGAAGAAGAACTTTGGAACACTTGTCCCCCCTCCCCACCACCACCACCATGAGAGAGGCTAATTAACATTCCTGGTCAGAGGACACTTGCTTGATTATAGAGAAGGAAGGAGAGGCTGATTAACATTCCTCAGACCACATGGAAGGGAACCCACCTGTGAGTGGGGAAGGCCCAGAGCACCCGTAGACACTTTGCGCAGGACCAACCAACCCTTGCCACCTACAGACAAGGGAGGTCCTTGCCGCTTCATTTCCCCAAAGACCAATCAGTTTAAAGTCACACTGTTCTGCCAATCACATTGTGCCTAATGGCTGCTGCCCTAAGGACTGTATAAAACTGAACTTGAACTTGCAAATCACTGAACAAGCAACACAGGGTGCAGGGTGGCCCCAGTATGCTGGAACATTAAAAGTTCCTCTTGTATTTTGCAGCAATCTCTCATGTCCGTGAGGTTCTCTCAGGGGGTCTCCGGTAAACTAAGGCTCTGCTCGCTAGAGTCTTATACGGTCTCCAGCTATAACATAGTCATGATACTATTGAAGGCTCAGAGGCCATGCTCGCTCAACAGTTGTCACCATTCTGTCACAGGCAAGGTATGCTCACAAGTGCCCAACCCTTCCTGATGACTTATAAGCAGTTAGTGGCAGTTTCTTCAGTGGTGTAACCACTAGAAGGTGCCCATTCTCTGTAACTAGTCCCTTACCCATGTTCCTGGAGGAAACCCTTATTAAAGTCATTGGCTCACACATATGTGCACACACTCATACACAAAATTTTATACATGCATGAAAATATCACATGAAACCAATCATTATGTATAATTAATATATTCTAATAAAAAAACTAATAAAAAAATAGAGCCATCCTGGGCAACTTAGTGAGATCCAGCCTCTAAATAAAAGGTCAGTGCAGCTCATTGGCAGGGCGCATGCTCAACACGTCAACGGCCTGGGGCTCAGTCTTCCCCATGGGGGTTTCTTCAAAGCCTCCAAAGGCATGTTTGTGTCTTTAAGAATATTACTTTGTTAAGCAAATTTGGGAAGAATGTTCAAAATTCATAAAGGATTCCCTGAAGTTGAGAAGCATTAAGAAAATGCCAGAGGAAGCCATTTGCTCTAAGATCACTGTCTCCAGACTGCAGATGAGTGCTGCTGTAGGGTTCGGTATTCTCTGAAGGAGGAAGAGTAGGGCCCACCGAGTCCCTCCTGACACGGTCACCAAAGCCACCATCTGTAATGTGCTTCAGACCACAAAGTCTTTCTTCTTGTTGGAGGTAAATGTTGCACCTTTGATCCCAGGACACAATAGTACCGATTCCAGCCCAGCTTCTCACAGCCAGAGATGCCGGCCCATCCCAGCCTGCCTGAGGTCACCATGGTGGCCTCTCTCAGCTGTCCACACTCTCTCCCTCACTCCTTAAGCTGTGTGTGGTGACAGAGTTTACCGGTCTGCTGTTTGCTTCCTGTCTTCTCCACTGAGTCTGTCTTGCTCATTCCTGTAGTCTCAGTATTTATGTGTCAGCGAGTGAGCGAATGGGTTGCGCTAACATCCGGATGTGAAGGACATGGAGGTGGATTCACGCAGAGCCACAACACAGAGCTCACTCCTGAAATGGGTTCGAGTTCTAGGCTTGACTGTGGCAGAGAGGGGTGTAACTGGAGTCAGGTGACAGGTAGAGAGAGTTCCAGCTGCATCCTTCTCTGGGATTTTCCCTAAGCCTCACGATGACTCCCCACACTTGAGAGAGGAACAGGAGAACAGCTCCGGAGCCTGGACCACTGGCCTCTGCTTGGAGTTGGAGCACAGAGACTTATAAAGGACACCAGCCACCAGTGAGCTGTCTGTCATCGTATGGGTTCTGGTCCAGCCACCTGGAGAATTCGCCAGCAGCAGGCTAATGTCTGGCCTGCCCTGAGTCCATCTCTTGAGCAAGGAAAATCAGCCACTGGGGAAGCTGTCCCCACAAGAGGTAGGGAAGATGAAATGCTTGTGTGGCTTGGGGCAGGAGTAGTTTTTGTCTCTGATGAGCTAGCTGATGGCCTGATTCATTCTCTCTGTCATTGGCAGCCATTCTCTAGCATAGGATCCTGGCAGCTGACAGAGGAACCACCCTGAGAACAAAGTCAAGCAGGAAGGAATGAAGCAAGGATTCCTTGGGCCATCTCAGGGCAACTCGACCTGTGGATTCTTTAGGAAAAAGGCCATTTTCTGGGCCACAGCATCCAGCTCACTTGGGTTAGCTGACTGAAGGAGGTTGCCCTTTGGAACAAAATAGTGCTTCAGGAAGTGCTGGCTCACACATCTGTGCAGCTTCCGAACCAGACGCAGGAGTGCCCGCTGGAAGACCTGCCAATCCTTGAGGTGGGGGTATTTCTCACAAGTCCAGAAGAGCACGGTCTGGGTAAGAGAGACATTGGGAACAAGTTGAGTTTACATGGGAGGTGGAACAAGGCATCCTGGGAAAACTGGATTCATCAGGAACTAATGATCCATTGCTTCACCTGGGCCTGGGGCTCACCTAGCTGGCTCAAACCTCCAAGTTACTCTCTCTTTCTTCCCTCTGACCCCCAACCATCAACACTCTCCTGGTGAGTCATACCATTATCCAAGCCCTTTGCCTCCTATCTTATAGGGTTACATGGAAGCCCTCATCTCCTGGAGCAAAGAGTTCTGCCAACATGGCAGTCTCTTCCTCTCGGTAGTCTCTCACTGACTCTGCCTCCCAGGAACCCTATAGGAGAGACTCCCTTCTTAGAAGATGGCCTCTTGGCCTGGTCAAAGCTGCCTGCTCTCCCCTGGCCACCTTCTCCCCTGTAGGTCCAGGCACCCTGCTTAATTCCCCTGTGCCCACTCACTCCGTCCCTCATCTACTCCAGTGGGGAGCCTTCTGCCATTAATCCTAAATGCTGCTCTCTTAGCCCAAGCTCTCCAAGCAGCAAACCACAGGCCCTCCTCAGCCTCACCCCTGCTGCTTGTCAGTGGATCAGTTGGCCCAAACCCTTTCTCTCCAACCAACTCTTCCTTTGGCCTCCAAGACAATGGTCTTCCAGGCTTTCTCCTCTCAACCCAGCTACTCCTCTGCATGGCACCCATCTGTGCCTTCTCTGCTTTGGGGATCCCTGAGGGTCCCTCCAAGGCCTATTCTGTTCTTGCCCCTCCTCCACCTAGTGCTCAGTGTAGAACAGTCTTCTCAGTAAGATGGAGGACTCACACACGGCACCTTCTCCAGCTCAGACTCTGCCTCTGACCTGCTTAGTCTTGGGTATTGGCAAGTTACCTCAGTTTCAACATGCCCAGACTGAACTCATGGCCTTTGCCACAAACCAGCTCTGTCTTTAGACCTGCTCATCCAGCCAGCTGTGCCAGACACAACCTGGGGCAGCATGCTCCTGTCACTCACAGCCCAACCTACCCATCTTCCTACTCATTGGTTTCAGACCTGCCACTCAGATTCACCTCCCTCCCACCGTCCTCCCCACCACACTTTGGTAGCCTAACCATTCTGTGCCTATTCCAATTACCAGCCGAGCTGAAGTTCTTTGTAAAGTACAGATCTTTATGGTTTATTTGTCAAATTGACAGTTTCTATCACTGTTAGCTAACTAAGAATACAAGACAGAGTCTCACTATGTAGCCCTCGCTGGCCTGGAGCTGTGTAGAGCAGGCTGGCCCATTTGTATTCACAGATATCCTCCTGTTCTTAACTCCTGTGTGCTGGTCATGTGAGCACCTGGTTAAGGATACACTCCTTAATACGCTCTGTGAGTTTGGTCCCTGCCTTGCTTGCCAGCCTTCTGACCAACACTGGTGTCTACAGAATCAGGCCAACTGCCACCAACAGATAGACAGGAAAAACAGGGCACTAAGACACAATGGAGGACTGTTTATCCAGAAAGAGAAACCCTGTCCTTTACAGCAGCAATACGGAAGGACATGTGTTAAGTAGAATGAGCCAGACTCGGAAAGACGGACACTGCGTGTTCTTCCCACATGTGAAAACTAAAAGTTAAAGTTGATCTGAGCCGGGCAGTGGTGGCGCACGCCTTTAATCCCTGCACTTGGGAGGCAGAGGCAGGCGGATTTCTGAGTTCAAGGCCAGCTTGGTCTACAGAGTGAGTTCCAGGACAGCCAGAACTACACAGAGAAACCCTGTCTCAAAAAAACCAAAAAAAAAAAAAAAAAAAAAAAAAAAGTTGATCTGAATGTGGTGGGATGAGGGCTGGGAATTCGGAGAGGGGTGGGGTGAAGGGGGTAGGATGAAAGGGGATAGAGAAGAGTGGGGTGAAGGAGGATGGGGTGAAGGGGGTGGAGAGGAGTGGGGTGAAGGAGGATGGGGTGAAGGGGGTGGAGAGGAGTGGGGTTAAGTGGAATGGGGTGAAGGGGGTGGAGAGGGGTGAGGTGAAGAGGGTAGGGTAAAAGGGGATAGAGAGGAGTGGGGTGAAGGGGGATGGGGTGAAGGGGGTGGAGCGGAGGGGTGAAGGGGGTGGGGTGAGGGGGGTGGGGCGAAGGGGTGGAGAGGGGTGGGGTGAAGGGAATGGGGTGAAAGGGGCACTGCAGAGGGAGGTTGGATTTGAGTGTTGTCCTTGTCCACGTATGCAAAGATGTCACACCACACCCAATTATATATGCAATTAAACATGGTAACCAAAAATAATCAATTTCAAAAGAGTGTATATTTGAAGTTCTGGGTGGATGAAGAACACTTGGCGCTCATCCAGAGGACCTGAGTTCAGTCCCCAGTACTCTGCTCTGGCAGCTCACAATAGCCTGTAAAGCAGCTCCAGCATCTGACTCCCTCTTCTGGCCCCCTAGTGCACCTGCATGCGCATGGCATATGCTCACACAGACACATATACATGAGTAAAAAAAATAATAATACATATTTGAGATTTTAAAGAGTGGATAATCTTTTCAATTAAAGTGGGCCTGGTAAAACACAGAAGGGAGGGAGGGAGGGAGGGAGGGAGGGAGGGAGGGAGGGAGGGAGGGAGGGAGGGAGAAGGAGGGTGGAGAGTGAGTGAGAGAGATTCCATGGGGCGGTCGAGCACACACACACACACACACACACACACACACTCCAAAGAACGAAACTGATGACACCTCTCACCAGATACAAAACTCAAAATGGATTGTGGTGTTAAAAGATAAGGCCTGAAACTATGAAACTAGAAAAAGCACGGCATTATCATAGGCAAAGATTTTTCAGAGAAGACCCAACAGTATAGTCAACAAAAGAGAAAGTAGACGAACGTGAACACATGGAACTCAGCTGCGTCTGCACTGCAGAGCTGTCACCAGGGTCAGCTGGGACTGGAGGGGACGTTAGTGAGCTGCACGCCATTGATATTCAGAATACGCAGAGCTCAACAGCAAAAGAACAAATAACACCAGGAAAAGTGGGCGACTGAGAGGAAGTTCCATTTCTCAAAAGAACACGCACAAGTAAGTGGACAAGCACCTAAGTCAGTCTTCCCTGCCGGTCAAAACCACAGTGAGATGCCACGTCACCCAGTGAGAGCGGCTGAGTTAAACACAAAAGATGAAGAAAGATGAGGAGACAGTGAGGACGGGGCACTCCTGCAGGGCTGGTGAGAATATAAGTTAGTGTAGCTCTTATGGAAAACAGACTGGAGGCTCCTACAAAATATACAATTTGGTTATGCATACCAAGGAAACAAAATTAGAACATTGAAGAGATCTCTACACTCTATGGGTACTGTGGTATTATTCACAATGGCCGAGAAAAAAATGAACAACCTAGGTGTCCGCCAACAAAAGAATAAAGAAAACGTGGTATGTCTACACGGTGGACTATTTCTCATCCATGAACCCTCGTGGAATCCTGTTATGCACAGCATCGTGGAGGAAATGGGGGTGGGGAGCAGGAGATAAGAAAGCAACAGGCAAACAAACACGGCACACTCTCCGTCACCAATACAGTGGGTTCCACAGAAGAAAACAGCGATTATGAGAAGTTAGGAAGGAAGTGGAGAGGGGACAAAGGAAGGTTGGGTGGTGCTATCAAATCCTCGGACGGGACGGGAATACGTTCACACACTCACCAGAACAGCAGTGTGCAGAGGGCTATATTCACGTGCTCGCCGTCACAGCAGAATGCTTGCACTTTACAACAATTCATTAGTTTGAAATAAGTAGGGGAGTTCAAAGGCTCCCAACATGCAGACAGGATAAACATTCGAGAAGGGAATTCTCGTCACCTGGCTTCACATGGTGGATGTTCTGTGTGTCTCAACTTTTACTCTGCATATTATGCATTACAACGTTTTAATTTGTACAATAAATCATTCCTAGTGATACATCAAAAAAAAAAAAAAAGGTGACGAGGGAGAGGGCTGAGAAGAGGAGGCAGGAAGGCAGGTAAGAAAACCCAGTTGCTATGATGCACAGCTGGGGTTTATATGTCTCTGTGAGCTGAGATGCATGCAGTGTGGAAATCTTGGAACTAAAAACAATTCCCAAGGCCCCATCCTGATCCCATCACACACTAGGACTCACCTAGAGACAGTTGCCCCGACTCCCCCTACCACACCCCTGCTCACCTGCAGGTGGTGGGTGGTGATGACCGGCCTCCTCCCTGGACACCACACATCCTCCTTCAGCTGCCTCAGGACCTGAAAACATTGCCTGCGGCAGCCTCCATCTTCATCCAGCTGCTCAAACAACATCTGCTCGGCCTGGGAGAAACTCAGCTGCCAGTGATAGCTGGACTGGGCCACCAAGTTAAACCCAAATGACTGAAAACGAAACAGGATTGGGAAGATGAGAAGCACAGGGCTGGCTAATGTAGACAGAAGCTCAGATAGCTGGAAGGACCCACGGCCCGCAGCTTGTGGTATGTCTATGCAATGGAATATTATTCAGCCAATAAAAAAGAACCAAACCCAGTCATTCACAGGGACATGGATGGGACTGGAGTATAATATGCAAAGTGCAATAAGCTAGAAAAAGACAAACATACTGAATATTCTCTCTTACACATGGATGTCAAAACTTGGAGATCTCAAGGCATCATGGGAGAACAGGAAGCATCTTGGTATACTCAGGGAGCAGGGTGGCTCAGACCCCTTTATGGCAGTTGTCATAGCCCATGTCAGAGCCCTTGAGGACTTACCAGCCTTTTCTGATAAGAAACCTGCATTTCTGACAAGTTCGTCCTCAGTGCTGCTATGGTGGGAGGGGGGCACGTGCATGGGGGCAGGCTCCAAGGAACCCCCTGCTTCCTAAGAAGCTGACACACAGTCACTGATGTGATTGGCAAAGCTGATGGCACTCTACTGAATGGATCCCCGCCTGGTCACCCATACCTTGATACACTCCACTCTCTCTGGGGAAGGCCACCGCTTCAGACACCGAGGCCACTGGGCTTTTTCAGGCCAGGTGGTGGGGATCTCCACAGTGGGGGCCAGCTCCAGCTCCACCTGACCTGTGGACGTTTCCACAGCAACCCAAACAGTAGTGCGTTTTTCTAGCACAGTGACTTTGCCTGATGGGAAAGAACCAGAGGGACACTTGAGAAGAAAGCCTTGCTCTACAGAAGCAGCAGGGCAGGAAGCGGTGAGCGAATGCTCTGGGAGCTGTCAGTGCAACGGTCACAGTGTCAGTTCTGTAGACACCAGATAGTCAGCTACGATCACAGGGTCACAAGGAGGGCCCATGGCTGGTAGGTCTTTGCTTTTTCTCCCCACTCCTCCAAAGCTTTGAAGCACATTCTTTTAGGGTGCATGTGTGCATGTATGTGTGTTTTGCTGGAGATCCTGCATGGGTGCAAATGTGAGTGTCTCGGGAGATTGAACCCAGGGCCTCACACATGCTGATCACAAATACCTCTGAGTTATAATCCAGCAGATTTCCATTTAAATTGATGGGTTCTTTTCAGAAAGTTCAATGAAGGAAGGTCATGGAATAAGATAGGAAAGGGGCATATTGGCTATTGTGTGATCTCGGTGCTGGTTTGGCAGGGAAGGCAGGTGAGGATAAGGACAGAGCTCTTTAATCTCCTGTCAGGATCTTGTTGAAGGGTGGCTCTGACCCCACCCTCACCCAGGGGCCTTCCAGGGGAGTCCTACTAACCTGCTTTTCATTTGAATCAGTCTCATGGATGGTGTTTGCTTCTACCATTCATCTTGGGAGCCATCTTTGCCTGGATGTATTTATCAACCTAAGTCTACCAGATCATAAAAGCCCTCAGAGCATGTCACAGCTAGAAGGGAATCACATGAGTGGGAGGGGTCACAGCTGGAAGGGTGCCAGGTGAGTGGGAGGGATAACAGTTGGAAGGGGTCAGGTGAATGAGAAGGGTCACAGCTGGAAGGGGTCAAGTGAGTGGGAGGGGTCACAGCTGGAAGAGGTCTGGTGAATGAGAGGGGTCACAGCTGGAAGAGGTCAGGTGAGTGAGAGGGACTTCCTATTATTTCATTTTCCAAGCAGGTGAGAAAGAAATCTGTGTGGTGAGTTTTCTAGCTCACGAGCCAGCCAGCCCTCATTGCCAGGGGAATCTCTTTTCAAAACAATAAGTTTTTATTTAATTTTAATCTATGTGCATTTGTGTGCCTGCATGAGTTTATATGCACCACATACATGTAGCAGCCTGCAGAGGCCTGGGGAACGCATCAGATCCCCTGGAACTAGAGTTACAGACAGAATCCCAGGAACCAAACCCAGGTCCTCGGTAAGAGCAGTGAGTGCTCCTAACCACTGAGCATCTCTCCAGCCCCATCAAATGTGTGTTTTGTTTTTTTTGTTTTTGTTTTTTTTTTTTTTGGCTTTGTTACAGATAAGAATGGGTGTCTGGAACTTAGGTCTGTCATTTCAATCTTTCCTTCTGAGGGAATGGAAGCTGTTAACTGTGTTTGGCTGTTCTGAGGAAAGCAAGCTGTCATGAGCTAGATATGATGCATGGCCCATGGTCTATATCTCACCAGAGAGGCCTGGTCATTACCCCAGTCTCAGAGAAGGCAAGGATGAGGAGTATGGCTTTAGCTTTGTTCACTGGAAGCTCCTCACTGGTCTTGCCCGGCTGGCCTCTCCCGTCCCTCCTTTCACTTGTAGACCATCTCTAAGTGTTAGGATTGAACTTGGAGCTAGACTGCCAGGACCACTTCCTGCTTCTGCAGATGAGACAGGTTCCAGTCATGACCCTCAGCCAGGAACAGAAAAGAACTCTTTTCTTTCTCCCTCCCTCCTTTCTTTCTTCCCTTTCTCTCTCTCTCTCTCTCTCTCTCTCTCTCTCTCTCTTTCTTTCTTCCTTTCTTTTTAATAAGGTCTCCAGTATCCCAGGCTGGCCTTGAACTTTCTATGCAGAGAACGGATGGCCCTGAATTTCTGATCCTCCCTCTCCATCTCCCAGGGTGTGGTAAGCAGAGGTGCATCAACATGTCACATGTATGAAGTGCTGGGGATCGAATTCCAGGTGTTGTCCATGCCAGGCAAATATTCCACCAACTAAGTTGCACATTACCCCAGTCTCAGATTGCCACAAGAATTAAATAATCCACAGAAGTACCTTCTATAACACCCATGAGATATGACCCGGATGGAGACTTTCTCGGAACTATTCTGTTCAGACAAGCAAACATTTACAAATGTATTATCCGACACTGAGTTCTGTAGCCTGTATAATTTTTCATAAGATGTGTGTGCATGTGTGTGTCTCTCTTGGCAGAGGCTGCATACAGTCTGCCAGGCAAAGGTGCCATCATTCATTGGACCAATTATCTTGGATAGTCAATTCGATTTCTTTTTTCCTAGTTGGTTACTATTTTCAAACCTAGGGCAGAGGATATTCTTGGCCATATTTCTTTGAGTGTTTGCAAAAGCTTATTTGTTGAACAGCCAAGTAAGCTCTTCATAAAAATAAATAATGGATAAATTGCCCTTTAAAAATGAAATGCTCCCAAATTTCCTGCTCCCAAGAACAACATGAAAGTGCCTGTTTCAGCTGACCCACCCACCCGTACCCAGCAGGACCACACTGCTCAGACTTCTTATAGCTGTTAATCTGCTAAGCATTTTTAATGTTTCTATTCTTGTTGGGATTCTTTGCCATTGTTGTTTTCTTTTAGATTTATTTTATTTTTAATTCTATGATGTGTGTGGCTGTATTATGCATACATGCATGCAGGTACCCATGGAGATTAGCAGAGGGCATCAGACTCCTGGAGCTGGAGTCACCTGAGGTCGGTGCTGGGAACTGAACTCGGGTCTTTTACAAGGGCAGCCACTGCTCTTAACCACTGTGCATCTCTCAGGCCCCAGTTGTTTAATTTTATAAGACAGGTTCTCATTATGTTATCCAAGATGGCTTCAAACTTGTAGTAATCCTCCTGCCTCAGCCTTCGCAGTTCTGGGATTACAGACATGTACCAGCCACCATGCCTAGCAATCTGCTGGAATTTTTAACATTTTTTAAAATCTACATTTTTTCCTTTAACTACTTATATTCTCCTCCAAGATCCCTGTTCTTTCCTTTTTTCCTTCCTTTCTGATCTCTCTCTCTCTCTCTCTCTCTCTCTCTCTCTCTCTCTCTCTCTCTCTCTCTTTCTCTCTGTGTGTGTGTGTGTGTGTGTGTGTGTGTATGTGTGTTTCTGCTGATCAGTTCATCTTCCTTACTGGTTTATAACTACTTTTGTAATTAAGGAATTTAGTCAGTTTTCCCACACATGCCTGTATGTTTATGTGTGTGTGTCTCTGTGTACATGTCACCCTGTAATGTGGTCAGTGTTTGCAGTTGTCAAGGTCCGTCTGTCCTCTGCTGTGGTAGCTTTCCGAGCATTCTGCTTCCACACCCTGTGTGCAGTCAGATGCTTGGTACACAGAAATGCGCTGCTGACCAAGGTCTGGGGGGGGGGGGGAGTGAGTAATTTCCTGCTTTAAATAAGTATGATGAGTTTGGAGATGAGCCACCAAACCCACAGCCTGAGGTGTGTTTGGCAAGGCAGTAATTTCTAAGTCATGGAGGTTCCTGAGAATGAATCCCTGCCCTAGGGACTTCATTAACAGACTAGTGCCCCCCGCCACCCCATCGACACAAAGTAAAAGGTGACTGGCTATAGCTCCCCTCTCACCTTCCCTCCATCGGCTCACCTGAGAGGTGACAGGTTCTCACTGCATTTTCCACCAGGGTCCGGAACACCTTGAGGACTTTGGCTGGCACGATGTCCCCCTCAATGTTCACATCTGCCTTGTGCCACTGCCACAGGGTCTTCATGAACATCTCAGTCTCCAGCCACTGCTGCAGGCCTTCGGGGTCCCGCAAAGGGCAGGTGAGCTTGGTGCCCTGCAAGTTGTAGTACCGCCAGCGCTGCGTCCGGGCCCCCTTGTACCCTGCAAGGCCTTTCAGTGGGACGGTGACATGGAAGAGGCTGGGGGCCAAAACCTGAGGTCAGAAAACGAGAGAAGAGGAGCTGAGCTCACACGCTGTGGGGAGGCGATCGACAGAGGGGTGCCAACCTGTCCAGTCAGGCAGCTCAAGGCGGCCATGTAACCCTCAGCGATGTGATGAGGTGCTTAGAAACCGCATGGGGACTGCTGAGAAGTACGGTTTTGTTTTGCCACTAACCCACCTGGGGCTGTGGCAGACAGAGTGACTTAACTCAAGGAGTTCTGGGGTTTGTGAGGCCACAAGATAAGCATGAAGAAAACCTAGAACTCTGGAGGGAACCCGAAGCTCAGGAGAGAGGAAAGGAAAGTGGGAATAAATCCACTGAGTCTCACACACAACCCAAATCTCTGGCTGTGCCCATCTCTTCTCTGAAGTCACACCAGTAGGTAACCTGGATACCACTTCCTCCAGAGAGTGACCTAGGGCTCAGAGGGGCTACAGACCTCGTGGGGAAACTGACAGCATCCGGAAGAGCAGGGTAGTTTTTTCAGTGGTTCTAGTCTTGGGATAACTGAGCATTCTAGTATTACGGAGAAGGTGACAGGACTTTAAAGTGTCATGCTTTCTTTTCTCCTGTCACAATGACCCAGGGTCAGTATGAATGACTAACCCTTACAGAATCCAAGGTGAGATGAAAGTCTGTCTGTCCGGACAATGTGAGCCATTGACATGATTGTGTGTTCAGTGGGAAAATGGATGTGAATCCACCCACTCCTACTCTCCAGAAACCAGTTAAACAGTCCAGGAAGAAAGCAGGCAGGCATACAAAGCAAAGGACACTGTAAACTGGTTGACGGTGCAGATATTCTCGAGGGACTCTGAACTCTGGCTGGAGCCAGGCAGCTCACTGGGAGCCTCTTTGTTCATCCAGCTACATCTTCTTTGAAGAAAGTTATAGAAAGTCTAACAAATATCGAACTTTGGTCTCTGGTCTGGGCAGTGACTAACTCAACGGCAACTGATTCCGCCTCACTTTCAGAGAACATTTGATGCTTTAAATGATGATACCACATGACTTCTTGTGTTCAGAGATTGGGCTAAATAGTGAAGTCAGACATCTAAACTACAAACGTAGTATTCACGTGATTTGAATCCACTTGCACAGGAGTTCAAACATGCAACTGTGGGGCCGGGCAGGTGGTCTGCCAATTCAGTGCTTGTCATGTGAGCATGAATATCAATCACTAGCACCTACCAAAGAGTCAGGTGTGTAGCTGCATGCCAGTAATCACAGCACTGGTGTGGGGGGAAGAGAGGCAGAAACAGGTGAATCCCTAGGACTTGTTGACTTATATCCACTATAAGTGAATCACAGAATACCAGGTTCAGTGGGAGACATTGTCTGAAAATGTAGACTAGAGAGCCACTGAGGCAGACAGCTGATGCTGACTTCTATAGCTTCCACAGGTACGTCCACACACAGAACACACACCTGAACAGGTGGATCCACCCACACCCACACCCCCCAACAACAACAGCAAATAAAGACTAAAACTACTACATCACCAGTCACACAAATGCTGCTCAGTAAATACGTATCCAACTCAGCCCAAGATAATATTAAAGGCATTTTATGTGTCTTTTGTTTTGTTCTGTTTTTGTTTTCAAACAGGGTCTCCCATATCCCAGGCTGGCGTCAAATTTGATATGGATATTCTCTCAGAGGCTCAGGTATTTTACACTTGGTCCCCAGGTGACAGCACTATTCGGGGAGGTGGTGTGCTTGCTGGAGGACGTACGCCACCTGGGGTGGGGGTGGGCCGTGAGAGCTCAGAACCTGGCTCCACTTCCACTTCCTTCTGTTTGATGTTTGTGGTTGAAGACCCACAGTGCGCTCCGATGCCTTAGCCACCAAGATAAGCTCAAAAGAATTATTTCTTCCATAGGTGGCTTTGGCCATAGTATTTTATCACAGCAACAGTAAAGTAAAACAACACACTAAAACAGATGTCAAAGGTGACCAAGCGTGTCCCATCCTCCAGCTTTTGCTTCCCAAATGCTGAGATCACAGGTACGCTGGGGGTTGAACCTAGGCTTCGAGCATGCCAGGCAAGTACTTTACCAACTAAGCTATATCTGCAATCCCATTCCGAAGCTTAATATACAGGACATAGTGTTAGTTGACACAGGATATATTCCAAGCTATCAATCTAACTAGGACCATATAAGGGAACTTTTTTGGCCCAGGTTCAGGGAGAATGATGTGGTGTCTGCTCTCTCTAGTCCTGGGCTGTATTTGCCTGACTGAGATTGGCCTGGGAAGGAAGAGGTGGGCAAGTGTTCTAAAATGACAGGATCAATGCTAGTCTTACAATCTTCACTCTAGAGTCAGTTTCCTGAAATCTGATTCTGCCTCAAAGTCCACAAGTCTTAGAACCTTGTGAGTGGACCTTGTATCCACCAGCCTGAGAGGCACGTGGCCAGTCACAGTTCTTGGTGCCAAGCTCATTCTTTATAGGCTGAATGTGCACGTGCTGATTCTTAAAATCAAAGATCTTACAGACGGGTGGGAAAACACGTAAAACTAATGCAAGGTGAAAGAGGTTGGTATGCAGAAAAAACTGAGATCAAGAATAGTGAAGGTTCAGAGGCATACAGAACCTCCCTTCCTGTTTCTTAGTGGAGATGAGTGTGCAGTCCTGGTTAGGGTCTGAGTGAGATCACTGCTGACTGTCCTCCACTAGCCTTGGTGGTTAGACTCAGTGGGATCCCTCGGCAGGGAGGGGCTACAGTGTATCCCTATTGTTCCCCAGGGCTGCCTCAGAGCCTTCCTGCTCCCCCTCATCAGTACCCCAGAGTCTATCACCTTCAACAGCTTCCCCATGAGTTCCCTCACCTCCCTCTGCCTAGCTTCTCATCTATTCAGTTGTGTTTAACAAATGACCAGGTGCTTAACTGAGCTTGGACCACAATGCAGCATGCTTCGCCATTAGTCTTTGGAATGAGATCTGGCTTTGGGGGCAAATGGGACTCAGTCATGCCTTTGGCTTCCTCACTCCTAGCCTCTGTGGTCTAGGCATGTGTGGACTCCTACAGGGAACTTCATGTTTCATGTGTGTAACCTGTGCCTGGGAGAGCAGCAGTGGAAACCTAGGTCAGTACCACGTTCTCAGTGGCCGCAGTACTGCACACACACGGAGTCTCTCCTATCCCAGGGTTTGGGTGCTTCCTGGAGCTCCTCAGATAGGGGGAGCCCTGCTTATTACCTTAATGCTGTCATTGTATGTGTCAGAGGCAGGCACGGCTTCGAATCGACTGTCCTGGTGGCTGATTTCTGCAGTCAGGAGGTGGATGATTTTCTGTACCTCCTCCACAGTCTGAGAAATCTGCTGTCGCCTCAGGTCTACCTGAGTGTGAGGAGATCAGGAAAACAGTTATAGGGCCTGAGGAGGCACCAGCACACCGGTGACAAAGCAAAGGCGCACTGCTGCCTGACCCAAATTCAGGGTGAAAATCCTGCCTCCCAGGACTCCAAAGGAGTTGAGCTGCTTAGGCCTGACAGTGACCAACATGATGCTTGCTTTCTTCTGAAACAGGTGCCCTTGCTCAGTATTTACCCAGGACTTATTCCTGGGCAAAGGCTGGGAATATAACAACAATCAAAGCAACAGCAAAGGCAGGAGGTAAGGGTCGGGGTGGTGGAGAGTGGGGACACATTGTAGTACACACCTGTAATCCCAGTACATGGGAGGTAGAGGCAGGAAGATCTGAAGTTCAGGGCCAGCCTTGGCTCTCTAGTGAGTTCAAGGCCAGCATGGGCCACATGAGATGGCCACAGAGACATCCCTTGGAGAGACAGAATGCAAGGCTGAGACCACACCCACTTGCATAGGTTTCATGGCCCTTAGGGTTAGTCCACTGATAAATATGCATTTAGCATTGGTCGTACAGCTTCATGCAGTGTCACAGCAGAGCAGACAGACATGACTATGTACTTCCAGCACAGGGGAAGCTACATGAAAGAGAACACATGTCGGGGCTCCATCATGGGGACATGTGGGGTGCTGACCGATACAACAGAGAGGGCATCCCCAATCTGCATGCTGAGATCACTCTGATATGTACACATCCATATACAAAGTACTGTCTTTGGAAAATAACCTTGTATTGTCCAGATGGCCAACACTATACTAAGTGGCAAGAGACAAAAATGAGGTCCTTAAAGCTACAGGCCAGAGAATCTCATGGGAAATATCAAACACACAAAATGCTCCTTTTAAAGCCCACACATCTTGCTTGGTCTTCAATATGGCAGTTGTATCTGCAGGGTCATAAGCTTCTTTTTGCCACTAGCAGTCACCCCCCCATTTCTAATCCTGTAACGCCCACCCTGAAATATCCAATATGAGTAACAGGGCTGAGGGATGCTCTTTTAATAGCCATTAAGAAGCCCATGAGGGGACTGTGCATCTTCTAAACTGCAAGTGGAAGAAATAAGGTGCTCACAGAAGGGCAGGAAGGGCAGGATGTCAGAAATAAAGGAGGGTGCTTTGGGGAACCTTTGGTTAAAGGTCCCCACAGATAGAACTTCCCTTGTGTGCCTGATTCAATTGCATTTGGCCAGTTTTCACTGAATGCCCACTTTTTGCTGGAACTATTTACTGCACGGTAAGAGATTTACAGATAGACTGCCTAAGTAGGATGGACTAAAATAGTCCATAGTCAGGTGCTGGGAAAGGCATTCATAGGATGCCACAGAACAGCAGGAGAACAGCTGTATAATCTGGAGGCCAAGGGTCCTTCCTGGAGGCAGGAGGTAAGAGTGTTAGCTAGGGAGCTAGGGATCTGCCTCGGTTGGCAGAGTGAGCCCTGGCCTAGCATACATGAAGCCCTGGATTCCACCTGCAGCCTTACAGACACTGAGCATGGTGTGCATGGCTGTAGTCCTGGTGCTTCAGAAGTGGAAGCAGGAAGACCATTCTGGGCTTCTCAGCAAGTCCTGGGATACATGGGACCTTGTCTCTTGTCTCTGTGTGGTCTGTAAGGTGGCAGGGCTGGAAATAGAGGAAGGGGTCAGGGCCCCACAAGTGTCTGTAGAGTTTCCCAACCAGAGCAGGATGAGGAACTCATGAGGACAAAGGATCACCATTCCTCAAGAAGCTGGACCACCACGGAGCAAACAGATTACATAAAGCCAGCATGGCCAGAGACTGGTTGTCTCAAACTGATTGATACACGGGCTGAGGCAGGTTTAAACATAGAGAGAGGCATGTCAGTGGAAGAGGAAGAGGCTGCACACTGTGGAGGAATTTCCCAGGAGAAAGGCTCATGCAAATCTTCAGGTACTCACCCCCACATCACTTAAGAGGGAAAAAAGGGAGGAGGGGGACAGGGGACCGAGAACGGATGCTGGGAACTGGAGAGGTTTCCTGCTTGGAGTCTACTTTCTTTACAGGATAGAAGACAAAGTAATAAGGAAACAGGAAGCCAGAGAGGTGGCATTTCCCAGGGGGATGAGGGATGGCGTGGGGACATGTATAAAGAGGGCCAGGTTGTGGGATATGAGTGGGCTCAGTTGTAAGATACAGTGAAGCACCTCTTAACCCTGACATCAGGCTGTGAGTTTGGGTGTGCTAGGCAGGAGTCTGAGGGGTGGAAGCTAGGTAGGGTTTTAATTATTGATTTTTTTCCCAGACTAAGAAGGGAATGCATATATGTTCAGGCTGCTAGATTACAGGGCACTGAACAGGGTCTACTTTATACTATATGAGTGTAGTGGGGGGAAATAATATAGGGTAATAATATAGGGTAATAATATAGGGTAATAATATAGGGTAATAATATAGGGTAAGTAACACAATACAAAAGCCATGTGAGATGTTCTGACTAGGTAGAACACTGCGGTCAGAGTAGCTGGCATGGGGGATCAAGGCTAATAATCCCAAACTCCCCAAATCTTTAAGTTTGTGGATCTGATTCCACAGAACTTGAATGTGAGAAATTCAATGGATGAACACGTGTGCACGCGTGTGCGCGCGCGCACACACACACACACACACACACTAAGAAGCCAGGTGTCCTAGGTTGCTTTCCATTGCTATGGAGAAAAGTGTATGACTTGGCTTACACATTCCAATCATATTCTAACAGCAGGGAAGGCAAGGCAGGAAGGCAAGCAGAGTAGGAACTTGGACACAGAAACTCCAGCAGGAGCTGTAGAAGAGAGCTGCTTACTGTCTTACTCTCCACGGCTTGCTCAGCTATCTTTCTTAAACAACCCTGGACCACCTGCCCACAGTGAGCTGCACCCTCCCACACCAGTCATCAGTCAAGAAAACACCACCACAGACTTGCCTACAAGCCAATCTGATGGTGCCATGTTCTCACCCAATGTTCCCTCTTCAAAATGACTCTAGCTAGGTGAAGCATGGTGGTGAATTCCAGCACTTGAGAGGCAGAGAAGCAGGGAGATCTCTGATTCGAGGCCAGTCTGGTCTACAGAGTGAGTTCCAGAACAGCCAGGGGTACAAGGAAAAACCTTGTCTCAAAAAACACACCAAAACAGCAACAACAAAGACAAAAAAAAGACTCAAACTTTTGTCAAGTTGAAAAAAAGGAAAGAATCAGCACAGTAAGAGAAGAGCCATTATAATGCTGGTATTACCAAGAAGGGATGGGAGCAAAGCACCCAGGGGAGCAGCCCTCCTTAGGGAAAAATTCATCATTATGAACTAGAGCACAGACTGGGCAGTGACTGGTCAGAACAAGATTGAACACATACTGGAAGGCGCCTATAACCACTTTCATTATCTGGTGCTTAGCTCATCCTCCCGATGTGTTTTCATCTGCAGACATGAAAGTCAGAATAGAGGACTCAGCTGTCTAGAAGGTAAGACTACAAATTTTTCTCTGCCACTTCTTACACGTAGATGCCTTAAACTTAGCAACTCAGAATTATTTCGACTTCAGAAATCATCTTATCTGGTGTCACAGGATAGAGTACCAGAGTAGCAGGTGGCTGCCTATGACACCTGGCAATTAGAAGTAGAACTACACCAAGTGCACGGGGTTTCCAATGCCATTTCCAGCACTCCCTGACACACCCTCCATGACAGTCCTGCAGATAGAATGGACCTCTGATCTTCTTCCTGGACCTAGAGAAGGCCTCCAGTCTGCGGCTAGTGCTCATAAAAACAGCAAGTCACAAGCACATAAAGGTAACACGGCAGGGGCCAGCAGTGATGTAGGCATAGACCAGCGTCTCAGACATGTCTGTCCCGTGGTCCCTTGGCTGCTGAAGCAGGGTGCAGTTCTCTTTAGGTGATGCTTCGCCCGGTCCTCCCACACCACTGGCTATCTGTGCAGTGTCAAGTTCTCACTAGGTTAGGAACATCACCGAGCCATCCATGGACCCCAAATGATTGGTGCTAGGGTTCCCAGGCCTGTGGCAGGTTGTAAGCCCAGCCTGGACCCTGGCACTCCTCTGGACTGTTGCCTTCACTAGCCTTGACTGAACCCAGAGAGACAGAACAAGAGGATTTGTATTTGACTTCTGGGTGAGGAAATGCAGAGACGAGGCCTGAGGGTGATTGCAGGGAGTGATTTTAGTGAAAGATAGATATTTTGCCACAGTACAGACCCCTCCAAAACCAATCCAGAATCCTTTTTAAAAAAACAAAACAAAACAAAACAAAACAACAACAAAAAAAACAGTAGTCTCTCAGGTGTCAATGAGCCCGCAATACAGACTCATCACCAAATGTATTTCAGGCAAAGAAAAGCTTGAAAATAAATATAAGAGGGAAATGAAGAAAATGGATGTAAAACTGTAATTCAATCCAAGCCTGACCTTGGAGGCCTATCCAGGTTTCAACCTTGCTGATAAAGTCTATGAACCAAAAGGGGTCCTTCCTCTCTTTTCAAAGGCTACATTTTTGAGTGTGGCAGAGCCTAGGCAGAACCAAGCCACACAGAATCAACCAGGCACAAAAGGCTGGATGCTCCAAGGTCACAGAGAGCAGCAGGTGACTGCTTCCCGTCACAGCTTTGCCCAGGGCCTCCTTCTCTCCAGGTGTGTCTACGTGCCTGACCTCACGTCCCGGTCTCATCCCAGGCTCCCTCCCTCCGTCCCTCCTTCCCAGCCTCTGGCTTATTGTTGACCCACAAGTCATTTGCTACTATTAATAGTTCAGGTTTGTGAATAATTTACTGTTTCAAATATAAAGTATTGGGAATTCAGGGCTGTTCCCTGTAACAACGCCACGCTGACTCATGGTGTTGCAACCCCCTTCCTTGAACTCCATGGAAGGGCACTTGAGCAGCATGCGGGAAAAGCTGTTTTGGGGGCATGGCTGCATCCACAGCAGGTGGTCTACATGCATGAGAATCAACCAGGCAGAGGACAGGGAGGAAAAATGGCTGAGAACTTCCTCCCAGACAACAGAAAGTTAGGCTGTTAACAGGTTACACAGAATAACCAGGCACTTTCTGTGTTCTCCAGAGCTTGCCAGTTTAAAGAAAGACATGCATTTAATGGACAGATGCAGAGGAGACAGTGGGCCTTCATCTCTGCTAAGGCTAATTTTGTGAAGACTGTCTTGACCACCTGGTGTTTGTTCTCTGAGTACAGCAGCAGCAGCAGCAGCAGCACGACCCATGTGGAGCTTGGGTTTTTCAGTCTTCCCAGAAGCCCCTGGACCTTCTATACTCTAATATTTGCTCATGGTTCCTACTTTATAGATGGGGACATTGAGGCTCAGGAGGTAACCTGCACCAGAGCTAGTAAGTTACAGATAGATCATATTTGCTACCTTAGATTCTGCTCCCTAAAAGAAAGCATAGCTGAGTGCAAACCCCCATGGAATGGGGGTGGGTGGGTAAATGGGTTTCCTCCTGTACTTTCCTTTTCATCTACTGAAACCTAACACATCCTCTAAGGCCTCATCTCCATCCCTTTTTCTGTGGACCACTCTTCTCACATCAAAGCCAAGGCCCTTCCTTTTGCTCTTCAGAGTTCTGTATGGCAGCCTGGGGTCTGCCACACACTGCAGTTAGCACCTTGACTGTACACAAAAACATCCCACTTCCTCCTTGGAGTTAAGGACAGACTCTGCAGGCATGGCTGGCCATCCCTCAGGCATGCAGGGCATTTCTTTCCCCTTTAGCAGAACACCTCTCAGGTTCTGAGCTTCCGCAAATCACAAAGCAGGATCTGATATAAAGTGGGGTTCCATGTGTGTCTGTGAGAGTCTGTGAGATGGAGAACTTCAGCAGGGGGGATATGGCCTCTAGGCCTAGCCAGCTGTGCTGAGACCTCAGCATCTTCACCACACAGCCATGGGACTTTAGCCAAGTCCTTTCATCTCTATGAACCTCTTTCTTCCTCTATAGAAACGGAGGTTGGTTGACGGCTACATTAAATAAATGTTATGGGCACCTCAGCCTGTTAGCATCTTTGGGTTTCTTTCTTTCTTTCTTTCTTTCTTTCTTTCTTTCTTTCTTTCTTTCTTTCTTTCTCTCTCTCTCTCTTTCTTTCTTTCTTTCTTTTTAATTTATTTATTTTCAGGGACTCTGAAGATATTTCAGACCACATCTTTGCAAGACACTCTGGGACTATGGAAGGATAGGAATATGTCCAGGACACTATTGGGCCCTCTGAAAGGGTAGATGGAACAGTCAAGGTTTAAGTCAGTAGCCAAGGCAGGGATAGGAAGAGTTAGTGCCTAACCAGTGAGCACTATCAGCTGCACAGCTGCCAGGATGACAGAAGTGTCCTGTGCCTGGGTGGTAGAGAACATTTTAGGACAACTCTGAGCTGTGTGAGAAGGGATTAAAATGAACCAAAAAGAAAGAAACAAACCAAACAAAAGAAAAAGCTGGGTCTGAGGTCTGTTTAGGACATAGCTCTTAGGGGGAGAAGAGGCTGACCCACCTTCGGGGACAAGAGATGAACAGGGACAGAGCTGTCAGACTGGTGGCTAGGGGCTGCAACCTGCTGAGAACTGGCTGTCACACATGCTAACACTCAGACCACCATTTCCAGGCCAGACACCCGGGCTGCAGTTTCCAGGTACCCTGATTCTTTCTATCGCCACAGGAGACAGAAGCCTAGATTCCTATCCAGACATCTTAGTGTTTTAAAATGTCTATGAGAGAAAACTTTAGAAAATGCTCTAGAGACCAAATAGACCATGAATCCAGGTTGGATTCCATGCTGGGAATACCATTTGTGATTTCTGCTGGCGAGACTGCCCAGAGATAGAGGGTTAGAGAAGATCACTTGAATGCCAAGCTAAAAAAATTGGAATGCTGCTGATTTTCCAGACAACACAGGACTCCAGGAAGACGCTCGCCAACACTGCCTCGGTGTGGAGGACTGCTGGGGAACCACTTTGCTGGTGATTGTTTTTGGTACAGGTAGATTTTCCTTATTCTCCCTTGATGTTTGAAAATTGCACTCATGTCTCATAGTGATAATAATCTTTGCTTTGTTTATATATAAAGGCATGAAAGCTAGAGACCAGTCCCCCACCTCTCAGTTTAAACCTCTTTGTTTAAACATTAACAACATGCCTTAGCAGCTTCATGTGCAAGTGGAACAATGGAACAGATTAAATTAAATACTATTTAAGGTCCTTACAAAGTCTAACATCAAAAGAGCCTAAAACTGGAATTAGTCCTTCTCTTTCTTCCTATTCCCGTTTCCTCTCTTTTCCCCTTTCTTTCTTCCTGTCTGTCTTCTTTGTTCTTGAGACAAGGTTTCACTATATAGTACAGGCTAGTCAGAAACCCACTCAATAGACTAGGCTGGCCTTTGAACTAACAGAGATCTGCCTATCTCTGCCTTCTGAGTGCTGGAACTAAAGGTGGGTACCACCATGCCAAGCTTACAAATGAAGTAATATTTGTTAAAAGATTTTTAAAAAATTTATATATATATGTGTTTTGCCTGCATGCATGTCCATGCACCACAAGTGGGTCTGGTACACGTGGCAACAGAAGAGGGCATCAGATCCCCTGGAACTGGAATTACAGATGCTTGTGAGCCACCATGAGGATGCTGGGAATCAAACTTGGGTCCTCTGGAAGAGCAATCAATGCTCTTAACTGCTGAGCCATCTCTCCAGCCCCCAAACAAAAATTTAAAACTATCAGTTTTGTAGTTAAAAAACAAAAAACAAAAAACAAAAAAACCCCTTTGTCTTTGTTGTTTGTTTTTTTGAGGCAAGGACTCAGAAAAGTCCAAAATACTCTCAACTTCTGCTCCACATGCCTGTCATCTGCATGTCTGTCATTGTGCTGCCCCTGGCTAGCCATTCCCCAGTGATCCCATTCAGATCCTCATTTTATGGAAAGAAATCTGAGGCTCAGGTAATTAACTGGCAACATGAACCTCCTCAGTATGCTGAGGGTCACCATCCTGTGTTCCTGAGGATGGTCTATGGTCTCCAGAAGCAGGGGATTCCTTCTGATCACTGTCCCTGGGGTGGAGAATTAGAGGGTGTGCCCAGGAGAGTCTGGCTCTGGCTCACCTTACTCAGCAGGCAATGGTCTAAGTCTCCCTCTGGAAGAGACGTCATGGCTTCTTGGTCAATCCCCAGTATAGCAGCAACTTTCTGCTTCTTTTCCCGATGGAAGACAAATCTGGTGGGCAGCTTTCTCAGCAACATTACTCTCTGGATGAAATGTCTCTGGAGTTGTGAATGTGAACCAGAAACTTGGCTTCTTCTCACCTGCTCACTGCAGTTTGCCTCTCCAACATGGGAAGATTCATCTGCCATCTCTCAGGGAACTGTAGAAAGATTAAAAAGGAGACGTGATGAAAACGAGTTGGAGCGTATCCTGTTTTTCTTCTTTGTCCTGTTGTCCTGACACCAGGTGCACCTTGGTGCCTGGTATCTTTACATCTACTTGTCCTTACCTTGTTGACAGTAAATATCCCTTGCCCCCCACTCCTAAAAATTCTGCAATTGATTTACTTCCTTACCATAAACAAATAAGAAATTGCAAACAAGCCGCCTGGTTTCTCATCATGCTCAACTCAAGCCTTGTCAATCAGATGAGGGCTGCCCGGACTGGCATTTACAAAAGCATGAGCTCACAGAGCCACTTGTGTATATACAGAGGCAAGTTCACATGCTTACACGCTCACACACACACATGAACTCACAGAGATACTTGTGTATACAGAGGCAAGCTTACACACACACACACACACACACACACACACACACAAGACAGAGAGAGACAGAGAGAGAGACAAATACACGCAGAGAAAAGTAGGGCAGAGAGTCCTGCCTCTCACCTGCTGACCTTAGAATGTGATTTCCTTTTCGCACTTGAACGCTGGCATTCAAAATATACTCGGTATAAACAGGCCCCTTAAGAGTCTAAGACACATCTAGTTTTACCAGTAAAACCCATCCTAGAAAACAGTAAGTTCCAAGTCTGACTGGCTGGGGCTAGTTTTAATACTGGGGGGAAATATCCCAGCAGCTTTATCTTCCTAAAGCTCGTGAGTATCTCTGTCTTTGATCCTACAGACTGACAGAAAAGCTGACAATCCACCTCACGTCTGAGCAAGGATTCCAGGCAGGCAGCTCCCCAAACCAACCTCCTCAACGCTCAACCCCAGCCAATCCAGCCCTTCCACTCTCTCCCTTGGCCCCGCATTTGCATATCCTCCCAGACAGCTCTGAGTGAGAGCCACATCAGACCCCACCCACCTCCTCCCTCCAGGCGTTGGGACTGCCTTCTCCCTGCTCCATCTGCCAATCCAAGGTCCTAATACCAGTCCTGAAAAGCTGAGGGTCGCAAAGGTTCTCAGAATCCCCCTGCACACGGCCTTGACTTTCCACCTGCTTTTCCATGTCCTGGAAATCCCCTTCTTTTTACGGCACGTGCTCTGAAATGGTCTGGGAATCTCCATCCCTAAACTTCTGTAGCCATGGTCATCATTCCGAATCTACCACATCAGTTTTTTCACCAATGAAACAAGAAGCTCTCCCTCCTAACCTGCCTTTTGGAATTCTCTTTCCACGTCACTTTCAACTCTGCTGAAGTACCCCCACCCTCAGGCCCCTCCCCACACACATACTTTTGGTTTTGCCTTTACTTCTGCTTTTGCCAGAATCACTACTGCATAGTCCCTGTCCTAAAGGCCATAGAGACTTTCCCAATAACCACCAAGTTCTGGAATCAAATGCCCACACCTTCACCACTCTCAACAACGCCAGCCAACCCATCTCAGTCACTCAGTACCACAGATTCAAATGTTGCATCTGGAGATGGCTTAGCCAATATAAGCGCTGCCACCAAGCCGGAGGAGCTGAGTTCTCTCCCCACCACCCAGGATCCATTTTGTAGAAGGAAAGAGTCAGCTGCCTCAGATACTGCCTCCACACACACACACAAAAAAGAGGTAGATAAATGTAGTAGATTTCGAGGAGCAATAAATAATGTCTGCTTATGAAAGTATTCACAACGTTTTATTTACAGTTTTGTATTGGGGTCGGGTAGCACAGTGTGCACACAGAGGTCGGAGGACCAGCTCGGGTGTCAGTCCTCAGATACCTTCTACCTTTTCCCTGAGAGTCTTTCATTGTCTGGAAACTTTGCCACTTTTTCCAGGCCTTCTGGGGCCCACCTCCCATTTCACCGTTGCTGGATCACAGGCATGTGCCTCTGCACCCAGATTTTTACACAGGTTCTGGGGATCTGAACTCATGTTCTCGTGCTCTCAAGACAAGACCCTCATTACCTGAGCCAGTTCAAGGTTTTCAAAAATCTTAAATCAAACCTAAAATTCCCCCTGAGGCCTGAAGCTCCTATTTTCAAAGTGATGTCTAACTGAGTGGTGAGGCCAAACAGAGGAATTCAGTCAGAGGTGGAGAGAGAAGTCAGATTGAATCGGCCATTTTGGAGAGGAGTTTGAGTCAGAACAGCTGATTTGAACTAGCCATCCAGAGCCCAGGAAGACCTAGAAAGGGTGAGCTTATTCAGCAGTAAGTCTCAGAGGCTGAAAACATTCTGGGCCTAGATAAGATTGTACAGAGGCTAGAAGCTTCCGGGACTAGGTTATCAGACAGAGGCAGTAAGCCTCGGAGACGACAATGACATCAGGTGAATAAAAGTTACTCTTGCCATCTGCTTTACTCGCCGAAGGCAGGGGGCCGTCCTGTAATGTGTGGGGTCACTCTCCCATCTTTCTGTTGCACCAGATCACTCAGTGAGTCACCCGCCACAGTTCCACCACAAAGCTGTGTCTGTTCCTCGTGTGCTGAGGTCATTTGACATTTTGTCTGGGTTCAGAAGCAAAGGTTCCCTGACTCATACACACTGGTGTGGGTGAGCATAATCTAAATAACTGTAGACCCTGTAGTAATAGAATATGCTGAGACCTAGGGTGATTTCAGGAGCATAAACCCAGGACAGGAGGGACGGCTCTGTCAGTAAAGTACATGTTCAAGAATGGGGGTTTAAGTTTGAATCCCAGAACCTGTGTAAAATGTCAAATGTAGTGGTCCATGGGGAAGAGACGGAGAAAGGAGCATCTGTAGGGCTTGCTGGTCAACCAGTCTAGCTTAGTCAGGGAAGTCCAGGCCAGGGAGACATCCCTGTCTGAAAATAACCAGAGTGGAGGAGATCTAAGCAACTATAACACACACACACACACACACACACACAGAGAGAGAGAAAGAGAGAGAGAGAGAGAGAGAGAGAGAGAGAGAGAGAGAGAGAGTGCTGACTTCAACCCAGAAGGAGCAAAGCAACAGGAGATGTGTCTGCACCTGAGGGAAGCCACCTTTCACAGCCTAATGCTGGCAGGAATGCTGAAAAACAGCCCAATGAGAACATGTTAGGAGTCCAACGTCCTGTTTCTGTGAAAGCCACTGCTTCATCTGGCCATCTGAAGAACAGTATACTGTTTCCTAGCTACTACAATTATCCCAGCGCTCCAGAAAGAGCAGCACCCCTCACAAAAAAAGAAGTTGGATGCTTACTTAATGGCCATGGCTCTGCCCCGTGCACAGCTAGAGGTCAGCGAGAGTGGGAAAAACCAGGCAGTGAGGTCCAGCTTTCCACAGGGCAAACATGATCCGGCTTAGATGCAAAAATGGGCCTGAAGAGATTGCCCAGCAGTTGAGAGTCCACACTGCTTATAGAGGACTTGGGTTTGGTCCCGGGCTCCTAGATTCAACAGCTCACAGCTGCCTGCAATTCCAGCTCCTGGAGATCTATCGCCCTCTTCTGGACACCTTAGGCACTGCACTCACAGCGGTGCATACCTACATTCACATAATTTAAAAGAAGACAAATTGTTTAAAAAGAGAGGAAGTGTGAAAGATGATTCAGTGTAGGCTGTGGCAGGCACATTTCCCAGGTCTGTGTCCATCCAAGTGTACAAGATCACTAGTATACTTTTCCTCATTCAGGGGACTGAGCCCACAAATCACCCCAGAGACTTTCTTCTACAGAAGACAGCCATCCAAAGCCATGAAGCTCTTGTTATAGCTTGGATAACATTTTATTTTAAATCAAACCTCTCTGCCTATTTAGGGGGAGGCAGGGGAAGAACATTGTATTTTCATTCAAAACTCTTCCTAATCCACCATCCTAGTCATGTGAGGTCAGATATTTTTAAGTTGCTCTCACCAGAGACAGTAAGAGAGTGAGGAAAGCAGCTCAGGAGGTGGGCCGCTTTTTGCTCATATTTTTTTTTCCTTCCCTGATGCCGTCCGGTGACTGCTGACCTGCTCACCTGAGTTCCTGGGATACCTGAGTCAGGAGGAAACACCTGGCTCTTGGGCAAACAAAGGAAAGCCCCCTCCCCCATCCTACTCATTGTTGCTTACGAAGCATGACAAATCTGTCTGACTGCTTACTCTACAGAGACCAGCAAGAGGATATAAGGGCAATAAAAGCTTCCAGGCAGAGATTTATGCAAATATGGCCATTTGATCTTTGGCAAAGAATAAACAAAACCAAACCCACTGAAGAAAAGGTATTCAACTGGTGGTGTGATCAACGGATGGGGGTGAGCGATGGGTGGGGCCAGCAATGGACCCACCACAGGAAAGGAAGTCAGCCTTTTAAAGAAGACAGATTGGACGTGGCTCACAGACCTCAGTGAGAAACATAAGCCCTAAGGCTTGTGGAAGGAAAAGCAGGGTAAGCCCCGTGACTTTGGGTTAAACAAAGACTTCTCAGAAGTGACAATCCAATAGCGCTGGTATCATTCATTGTAAAAGGGACACGATGCCCAACAGGTGTGTGCACGCAGGAAAAAATTCTCAGGAGAATCACTTCTGTTGATTAGCCAGCCCAGCCTGTGGTGGTCTACAGCAGCCCAGGAAGAGTGGCGCTCTCTGTGGAAGAACTCACTTGCGTTTGACAGAGCTAGCCAAAAGCATCTTAGGGGCTCCACCCACCGACCCATCAATCATCAGTTGCCCCAGGCACAGACTCCAGTCTTTCAGCCAGCATCTTTGGATACTTTGTGTCTCCCTTTTCCCTCCTTGACCCTAGGTTGACCTCACCTGCGCTAGGTAAGCATTCAAGCACTGAGCTCTATGCCCAGCCCGCCTGGGGGATCTTACTTTTTTGAAATATGCTTCTGCTGCTTTCCTCACCCCCACAAGCATCAGAGGGCAGCTTTATCTTCTCTGTTTTGTTAAGGGAACCTGTCTGTTACCACCTGACCCCCCAGAGGGCCTCATGCCCTCTATCATTGCTCTTCAGAAGACTTAGTAAGTACTCTGTAAATAAGACTCCTGACGCTCAGGTGCTCAGAGTTCCCAAGTAGAGGGACCAGTGATGGTACAGGAAGGGGCAGGTGCATCTCCAGGACTTGCATACTGAAACTCATCCATTAGCAGCATGGTCTCCAGCATCCTGATGCTGAGAGGAAGTATGGAGCCCTGAGGAGATGGACACTACAAGGAGGTCATTGTCTTGGGGAACACTGACTGTCCTTGGCTGGGTTGATGACATTCTCATAGCATCTTGGGTTGGTTTTCATGAGTGAGTCTTTAGAAAAAAGCATGTCTGGCTCCTCTCCATACTCTGGCTTTGTGTCCCACCTTATGACTGCCATGATGCCATCTGCCATAGAGTCCTCGATCAAAAAATAAGGCCAAAAATAAGGGACTAATATGTTTTGAAACCTCCAGAACCAGAATTTAACAATGTTCTTTAAAAAGTATCCATCATCGAGTATTTTGTTACAACAGCTTAAAAAAATGGACTATTCAAGTGTCCTAATTAAGAATGTACTAAAATAAAAGAAAAGAAAAGAAAAAAAAAGAATGTACTAAAATGAAACTTTCTTCCATATTTCCCTTGGAACTTCAGGAAACTAAGAAAGCACACAGTGGATACCCAGGAATATACTAGGTTCTTCCTGGGAGAGATAACAACTTCTCAAAGTAGTGCTGGGAGGGCCTCACCGGAAGGGTGGACCCTCCTCCCCTTCACCACTCAGAGAGCACTGAGTTTGTTGTTGACAAGCAACTGATAAGGCCGTCAAGTGCCAAGGAAAATGTGGCTCTCCCCAGACAGGCTTATTAGAACAGATGCTCTACAGCCAATGCTAAGAAAATAAATCTTGGCCTTTGGGAGGGGCTCCTTCAGTAAATGTGATCAAGGTCAGCCCATCCACACAAAGGACAATGGCAGGAAGTGTGGAGGAGAGATGAAGGAGGATTCCCAGCACCAGTCAGCTGTCACGATTAAACTACTCACAAAATATGACCAGGACAGGGCCTAATGGCAGGTACTAATTAGGATAGCTTTACTTCCTAAACTTACTGTAAAATAATCTGAAAGTTTCC